CCAGGGTGATCGTGAGGATTAAATCATCAATTAAGTGGTTAGAATGAAGCCTGGAGAATATATTTCTCTCCTGGGAAATCAACGGGAAAAAATGGAGTTGATATGCAGCATTTCTCTTACTCTGTTTTCAAGAAATGGGACTTCAAAGGAGACAGTGTCACAAGCCAAACCATAGGTACCAAATGTGGCCCTTACCTTTTTAAATCAATTACTTAACTGGAGAATGTTAACCAAATGGAAATGACTGACAATACACGTTTGACCTGAGGATCAATCAAGCTACATATCAATGATTTTATGTTTAAAGGACAAAAAGACAAGTCACAACTCCCCAGCAAGGCACATGAGACATTCTCTTCACTTTGTGGTTCCAACCCCCCTCTACCATCCCCTACCACACCTGCCCTGCTGAGCCTCCAACAATTCTCTCCCCAGCCTCCAGACCATGGCACAGCTGTTCTAGCCCTTCTTCATAGAGAGATCTCCTTCCCATTTCCCGCCTGGAGAATTCCCACTCATCCTTCCAGAGTCAGCTCAAATGACACCTCCTCCTCTGTGACTTTCCAGAAGGAGGTGAGGCCCTCCCAGCTCTTTGCATACACTTACATTCTGGCATCCATCAGGTTGCAATATTGTCTCATTAGCTGTTATCTGTCTCTCAGATTGGACCTTGTGAAGCTGGTATTCAACTGCAAACTAAGAAGCTTCCTTCTTGGAAAGCTGGCCATCACTTATTCTTTCTGAATTCCCCCTGCCTAGCAGGCTGCTCAGAAATTGTTCGCTAAATGTTTTTTTTTTTTTTTCCAAAGAAAAAAAGAGTTAGACATATTATTTATTCCTTAGAAAACATGTTATTTAATCCAAGTCTGTGGATGCTGACAAAATATAAAGTGTTGGTACACATTAGCATGTATTTAAAACTTGGGAAACTGATGTCATGATGCATCTTGACTTTCTCAGCTGTGGTGGAAACATTTACTTAACGATAAAAGAAACAAGACTTCAGCAGAAACCATAACTGGATGAGACTTGTTTGGCTGCACCAGAGGAGAACTACCAAGCCATTGGCCTCTTTTGACAACATTATTTTTTTTATAAAGACGGCCTGAGGGATACTATTTCTACTCTGAAAATTTCATTCTCTTCCCAGCTCAGGCTCTCACAGTCTCTGCCTTGTACTACACTTCTAGGGTGATCGTGAGGATTAAATCATTAAAGCAGTTGTCCCCTAACTCTGATCCCATCTCCCCAGAATGTGGCAGCTGTTTATAGTCTGGGATGCTCCTCATCCCTGGCTCTGAGTCCATTCTTCTCCTGGCTCAACAGTCTTCAAGGACTCCCTGGGGTGGTGGTGGGGGGGGGGAATGGTCCAAACACAGGCCCCTACCTATCTCACGCTGTCATCTCTCATTCCCCAAGTGAGACCCACTACAAGAAAGCTCTGGTTTTCAAGAACACACTCCATGTTGAAATTTCATATACACACATATACCCACACGCATACATATGGACACACATATTCACGTGTACACACACAGCACTGACACATAAGTGCTCCTACAGTCCCTTTTTTTGCATCAAAATTCCATTTCCATCTCTAGATCCAGCTCAAAGCCACCACCTAGGTGAAGACCTCATTAAATTCCTCAAGACAAAAAACACTAGGAGACAAATGATGAAAGGGCAATGTATGTCGGTCTCCTCCAGTGGCTTAGGCCAGATTACCGACAAGTCTTCTGCAGCTTTTCTTCCCTCCTCTCCTGGCTCGCCCTGGTACCAAGGAAATCACTGAGCACAAAATAAGTACTGAGTAAAAGCTGGCCACAATGAAAACACAGTCCCTCTTACACATGATTCAAAATGGGAAAATGCCCAAGACTGGATGTGAGCAGTGGCAGGAGAAATGTAACCAGGTGTGTGTATGCCCCAGGACTCACCTGGGAGAACAGGAAGATGTCAAAGCGTATGACAGTTACTGAAGGAGGCAAGAGGGAGGTTCCCAAAGATAAACCATGGTGTGGGGCGGGTGCTGGAGGCATTGAAAGGATCTGTGGACCAACAGTTTCTACTCTATGCCACACTCTCAACTCAGGGCCAATGTTAAAAATAAACACAGGGCCTGGCAGACAGTGGGGAATTCAATGGCCCTGTGGGGTTCTTGTCCTATCCCCTAACAACTGATAAAAGGAAGCTGGGCCTGAGATTAAGTGGGATGCTAGAAGTGGGTGTTCCTGGATCCACGGGGGAGGGGCAGAAAGAAGGCTTCGGTGTTGGGAGCTGGATCTACAGCATGCCTGGCCTTCCAAAAGCTGTCTGGCTGGAAATAATGTGAAAACCAGGCTGCCTCCTGATGGACTGCCTGATCAGGAAGGGGGGAGGAGGGGCAGGTGCTGGCCCCGGATTAGGAGGCAACCCCACACAGAGGGTCTCTGGAGTCTCTGCATCCCAAAAACAGCTCCGAACAGAAGATCCAGAGGGAGGGTTATAGAGAGGCCACTGTTGCATTAGTGGTTCTCAAAGTATGGTCCTAGGATCAGCAGCAAAAGATCACCTGAGAACGTGCCAAAAAAGCACATTCTCAGGCCCCACACCAGGCTTGGTGACCCTGGCACTGTTGGGGGTGGGTCCCTGCAATCTGTGTTTTAACCAGCCCTCCAAATGTTGGTTTGAGAACTGAGGCCTAGTGTGACCCTCCCTAACTGCCTCCCCTCCTCCCCCTTAGAAAGAACATGTGGTAGTGGCAATCCCTCAGTATCTGGAATGGAAACAACTTCTCAAAATATCAAAGGGCTCAAAGTCACAACCTAGTTAAGTGAAATACAGCCCAGAGGCCTTTTCCAAAAAATCATATCTGTTCATATCACTTAGCAGCTAAATCTCTTTATTTGGCCCTCACTGTGCTTAGCTTACAAGGTCCTCCCTGACCCAAAACCTGCTGCTCCTCTGGGGCCCTTCCCAAATCTCACCTCTCAATTTCAGCCACAGGGAATTCACCTACAGCCCCCTAAAGTACCAGGCTCTCTTCTGCAGCCATCCACAATCAGCACCCCTCCTGGACAACGGCCCTCCCTGGCAATGGCCTTCCCTGACTCGCCTCTCCCTCTGCCCTCCTATAACACAAGGCTCCATCATGCATCTGCGTCCTGGGCCACAGCATTTGACAAGGGGCCGGTCCAGCACCCAGCAGGGAAGGGCACAGAGAAGACCAATAAGAAATATTCAATGGCAGAACAAAGCCAAGTCTTAAACACACTTGGCATTCCAGCTACAAAACATTATTCCTCAGTATCTGGAGTAGTCTTAATTGTAATTAGAAGAAATGTTTACTAAAGTTTCAAAAGCCATAAAAGACTTTAGTGAGCAGATAGAACCACAAGCAATGGGAGAGAAAGATTTGCCCACCTGGGAGCTGATCATGGAGTAACTGTTGGCTGTGACTCTCTCCTGATAGCTAGGCAGGGCTTTCCTTACACCTCTATACCCAGGAACTTCAGGTTCTCCCAGGCCAGCACCTAGCCAAGCCTGGGCCATGCAGTAAGGTGCAGGGAGTCTCTTTGGTGCTCCCCTCACAGATCAATCATAAGCCCATGATTGGGGTGGGCGCTTCCAGAGAAATCTCCCCCTCCCCAAGGCAGCACCCAGGTGTGGCACCCTGGGTGCTTAGGAAAAGCCTAGAAGTCCATGCTTTCAAGGTGTGCCCCAAATTGGCCCAAAGGGGAGGTGGGATCTGCCATGGACTGTTCCTGCTGCTTTTAGCAGACTCAGCGAGGAGGGGATACTTGGGCGACTTGGGCAGAAAAATTAAAGGAGGGGCATCCCCTTACTCCTCCTGCCAGAAAAAAAAAAAAGATTCCTTTCCCAGCACCAGCTGGCAGGTAGGAGCTCGTCTCCCACCTGTTTGGACATACAGTCCTAAAAGGAACTCAAACTCTATCAGTCTTCCCCTGCCCACGCAAAAGTTTACCTTTGGGAGGGAAGGGGGAAGAACAAGAGAGCAGCAGCCTGACAGCCATTGCAGTGCACTGGGCCTCAGATATAATCAAAACACTGCCTTCCATCAGAAGTAGACAGGATAAGTATTATTTTATGGAGAAAGGGAGGGTGTCACAAGAGTGTGAAGGGGGAGGAGAGGGCCCAGCCTGGCTGTAATTAACTGGCCGGCTTCAAAGGGGGGGAATCAAGATGGCCTGATATGTAGGGAGAGGGGTTAACACGAAGTCGTCCCCCTCATCCCTGAGACAGTATGGGGGTGGGGGTTAGGTCAGGAAGAAAGGTGAGGATTGGAGAGGTGAGTCTCCTTTCAGACTGGCCGATTGGCGGACCCCCGCCCGCGCGTCGCAGGGGGAATTGACTGGTAGATGTGGAGCGCTCTCAGAGGCAGCGCATTTCAACCGGAAAAGCACGCGTGAACGTTCCAGGGGCAGCTCCAGTACAAAAGGCCGCCCGGATTTGGAAACCTGGTGCGGAGGGGTGGGGCAACGAAGGGCGTTTAGAGGGATTTACATATGCACATTTAGGTACAGCCGATCTAGATTTGCTAACCAGAATGCTGTGTAATATGGGGCGAGTCCCTCCCCAGCTCTTGACCTCAGTTTCCCATCTATCGAGTGGGGGGAGTGGGAGAAGAGGGGTAGACAAGAGTAAACGCTTTCAGGTCCGTGACAGCTGACTCTGACTTTACTCCTCGGGGGCCGGAAGGGCTGGCTAGGTGTCTTGGGCAAGGCTGGGGCGCTCTCATCAGGCTACTTCCGAAGCGGGCACCTGGATGTGGGCTCAGAGAGGGGACGTTTGCGGTGCAGCAGATTAAGACACTGTGCCAGGAGGTCGACGATCCGGGGGAAAGAGCATGTGAGGGAGGTAGAATCCGGAAGGAGCGTGGGAGCCCTGACTCCAAGGTCTTAGCAAAAAGTTGATATAGGGACTTGGAATGGAGGCGATGCCTGTTTCCCCGTGCGAAGTAGCTCTGTAACCTCGGGTGAGGCTACGGAGCGCCGCCTTACCTTGTCCTTCTTGCCGACTCCGGTCTCCTCCGCGGCCGAGCCAGTACACTTGTTGAGCAGTTTCTTGCTTCCGCAGGCCGTGGGGCTCCAGGTGCGGCCGCCGGAGCAGGCGCCCCCCGGGAGCTCTCCTGCACCGCCCGCGGCGCTCTCCACCTTGATCAGGCGGTGTTTGGGGGAGATGTAGCGCACCTCCGCCGGCGTGGCGGGGCGCCGCTCGCTGCTGCTGCGGTAAAGGTGCGGGGAGCCCGAGGACGAGGACGAAGACGCGGCTGCACCCGCGCCGGAGGAGGCACAGCAGCAGCCCGCAGCGCCCGACGCGGACGAGGCGGAGAAGGCGCGCTGGCCTCCGCCGGGCTCCCCGCCACCGCCGCAGTAGTCTAGGCGGCACATGGCACGCAGTTTGCGCAGCGACGAGCCCGGCCCGTTGTAGGGGTCCTCGAAGTCGCGCTCCTTCTGTGCGCGGTAGGCGCGGATGAGGTCGCTCGTGCTGCCACTGTCGTCGGGCAGGGACCCCGACGAAGCTGAGAAGCAGGAGGCGGCGGCCGGACCGCAAGACGCCGAGCCGCGGGGG